CTGATATCAACAGGTCTGTGTATGATTAGACTTGAGGTTTAGCAAATATCATCATCACCATATAGAAACCATGAACAATCTGAGAGATACACTACCATTCAAAAGTCTGACATCAGTAATTCTTTTTTAAAGAAATTAATACTTTTATTCAGCAGTGACACACTAGATTAATCAAAAGTGACAGTAAAGGCGTTTATATTGTTACAAAAGTAATGCTGTTTTTTTAACTTTCTGTTCATCAAAGAATTCTAAATAAAATGTATGATATTATCAACATTGATAATAGTGAGAAATGTTTCTTGAGTACCAAATCAGCTTATTAGAACGATTTCTAAAGACAGGAGTAATGGCTACTGAAAATTCAGCTTTGCCATAACAAGAATAAATTACATTTTACAATGTATTAAAAAAGAAAACTGTTATTTTAAATTGTAATAATATTTCATAATATTGCTATTTTTTACTGTATTTCGGAACAAATAAATGCAGCCTTTTTGAGCATAAGAGACTTCAAAAACATCTTCCTGACCCCCCATTTTTGAAAAGCAGACTATTGTGAAACTGTGTATAGTGTGTATAGTGAAAGTGTGTGTGCGTGTGAGAAGTGAAATGTGGCAACAGCAGCACAAAAGACCATCACAATGACCTTAATCAGCACATGCACACACACTTACGTCATAAAAACAACTTACACACCACTCTCTCTCTCTCTCTCTCTCTCACACACACACACACACACACACACACCTGTACAAGTCTGCACGAACACACAAACATACACACATAATTTGCTACAGTATCATTACAAAAATCAACACCCTCCTTCACTGCTTTCTAATCCCTTCTGATTTATCATTCTGTCCTTATCTGTCCATCTTCCCCTCTCCCTCCAGAGTAAGTATGTCGTCCCACCTTCGGTAAACTGACCTGTTCAACATTTTTGCACTTTTGACTCGATCCTGTTCTTCTCTCTCCATCTTCATATCCTCTAAAAACTCTTGGCAGACATTCTCAAGAAAGTCACAGACACTCAACATAAACATAATCAATAACTCAATAATCAAAACAGGAAGCGATAACAAGTATTATAGATAGCTCTGTTATTGTTAAATTATTAACTTCTGCAAGCTGTATACCAAAACCAGCTTTGTTCTTGCGCAAGCTACAATGAAAAATTAACTCAGACTTCAGAAAGTTTACAATACCGCTTATGAAATGTAACTGCAGTGGTGTTACAGTATGTGTGAATAGACTACAGTAAACAAATACACATTAAAAGTGCACTCAGTATTTTTCTCTTTAAAAAAATTTGCACATTAAGAAATAAATAGTATTATTATATAAGTGTAAAATCATTTGCAAATGAGATGATCACTACAGTCATATCAGTAGCCTAATTTGCATGCATAAATATTAAAACTCTAGAAGATAAGCTGTTAATTGCCAGTAAGTAATAAATTGACAATTTTATATTCTACACTATTTTGTCTAAAAAAAAGTTAGGGTTAGGGTTAGTAAAATGTAAAACAACCATTTGAAATGCTAAAACTTAATTTAGCGATTACAACATTATAGTACAGCACTGTATGCTAAATGGATATTCATAGATCTATTGATCAACTTACCCACAGTTTCTTGAAATAATATAATACATAATTATTTCATAATTATTTTCAATTATTTAATTTCAGAACAGTCAACTTTGTTGTTGAGTAATAACTTTCTGATAGATTTCAGAACGACATGTCTGAAATCTACTGCTCATCAAGCCCAGAAAGAGACAAGAGTGACCATGTTAGATTTATATTTTTGGAACATAGTTCTGTAGAGAGGCTGCAGTTATCTGCATGATGCTTCTAGCAAACGCTCAAGATGAGGGAGTTCGCATAATCCTGAACATCTCAGAAACACGAGCAGTTAAATCGCTCCTCTATCCCTCCACTACACCATGTGCCACTTTACATGATAGTTTTTATCTGGTTTTAGGCCGCAAGACACTCATTCCTCATTCTTTCAATAGCATCCTTATGCAGTATCTGAACACGTAAGGAAGGATGTGAGGATCTATTAGAGATCGACCGATATATCGATTTACCGATATTTTTCCAGTGAATTATTCTTGACTCTGTAGCTATTAAACAGCTTATAAACCTACTAAAACTGTAGTTTAAAATGAAGTTGATATGACTCCTGTCCTTTATTTATTTTCTCCATTTGAAAACATTAGACATTCTACATTTATTTTGCTTATTGTTAATATTAGTGTTGTTGCTGTTGATGCTTTTTATAAATAAAATGTTTTTTATTGTTGTAATATAAAGATTAAATTTAACATGAAAGACTGTTAATTTTCAACACTTAAAAAAAAAAGATGACTGAAAAGAGGAAAAACCAAAGTGAAGTATGTTCTTACTTCACTCAGTCATTTATTTACTTTGTAACAGTAAATAAATATCGGTTCTGCATATCGGTTATCGGGCACATAAACATGCAAATAATTGGTATCGGTATCGGTTATAAAATATCATATCGGTCGATCACTAGATCTAATCAACCTTCACTTCTTCATTTGGACTGAACATCTCAAAATGATATATTAAGAGTCACTGAGTCACATTCCTGTTCTAGAGACAATGCTGCAGGCACAATCAACAAACAAGAAGAGAAAAGAAATGCAGAGTATTTAAAATGTCTTCATCTGCCTGTAACTTTCATAATAGTGCAACAATGGAGAAACGATTATGTAACAACAGTATTTAAAGGAAGTTCGAAATTACCAGGAATATCCTGAAGTTTGACACTTAAGTGATATTTTAGGGCTCCCACACTTTTTGACCAACTTTTCCACGTCCTTTTCAGGCATGTGTGGTTACATCAAAGTCTTTTAGCTTCAGAACAATTCATTATTGAATCATTCAGTGAACTGATTCAACTGAAGTGACTCGACTACAAATTGGACATCACAATAGCTTGTTATCAAGTTTAATTCTAAACAAAAGCAATATCTAGGTGATGAAATCTTTTAAAGTTAAATATAAAATAGATTTTTCCATTATTTTTATGATGTATTAAATGTAGATTACTTTTTCAGGCCTGGAAAACATAACTGTAAGATTCCTGATATATTTTCCATGGCTTTCCTTTACTTGGGAACCCAGAAACATTCACAGTGATGTACAGAATGTATTCTTTGTTATAAGACAACCTAATGAGTCCTGGCCTACAGTTAAATAGTACTACACTCCACAAAACAATCGATAACCCCACCATAGAGACACCAGCCCACACCCACCCACAATCTCCTATCAGAATAGAAACTCCAGCAGTGACAGGACATCTGACAACTGTGGTCTAATAGATGGATATAAAGGGCCCTGAAAGAGAGTGTGATTTTGTGTGAGGGTGAAAGCACAAGTGTGTGTGTGTGTGTGTGCGTGAGGAGGGGGAGCCAAATTAATCTGGGGTCTGATACCCCCCTATGGGAGCAGCTCAATTAACGATCCACACCGGCTGAGGCACCGGGCTAAAAGCCATCTCACTCTCAATCTCTCTTACTTACTCTCTCTCTGTCTCTCTACACACCCCCTAATCCTGAGAGCAGGAATCAAGGAGCCAGCGCTCATTCATCAAGCACACACACACAATGCTTGCCCAGAGTTGCCACTAAAACAACATGACATTCTTCACCTCACCAAAAACACAGCTGACCAAAATCACAATGTGTTTCTGTGTGAACACATGAGTGGAGAGTGTGGTGTGTGTGTGTTTGAGTGAGGGAAGGCATGTGAGTGTTTTTCTAATTACTGTTTTGGGTAGTGCATGGTATGGATTATGTGTGTTTTTGTGTGTATACATACTTCGCTATAGTTTGGAGGCAAATTCTGACAAACCCACTCTTTTGGGACATTTGGGATGTTCTCGGTTTGAAAACTCACTGACTGACAAATAATGTATTTACATTGTAAATGCATTGTATATGCAAGAAGCTTGTGTTAATTTACGGTTAATCTATAACCCTAAGGCATAAATAAATAAGAGAGATATTAATAAATATAAATGTAATATATATATATATAGAGAGAGAGAGAGAGAGAGAGAGAGAGAGAAAGAGAGTGAGAGGAAATATTACATTTGTTTATAAATTTGTTTCCTTTGTTTTAAAAAGTCAATGGAAATAGCTTTAAAAAGATTATCATACATGTACTATCATACATTTCCACTAAGAAAGAACCAAATGTATGTGTTTGTGTGTACTATACACTCTCATCTTGTCATCTTTTCATTAATCTGTGATGGTTTTGGGGTTGAAAATTTAAAAAATCCTAAAATGTTGATGATGGAGTGATGAGAACAGTCTTTTTCTCTTTGTGTGAACCAAAGAACATCATCCCATGAGCAAGACAGGAACAGTCAGAGTTGCACCAGGGTAAATATTTCAGCAGAAACACACTTACAGAATGAACACGTCTTTCCCTATCACTCTTCCATTCTTTATCTGTCACTCTCTCCATCCCCTATTCACAGACCATTTAATCTTTTAATATCATCCTATATTAAGAAAACACAGTCCAGATAGGTCAGTCCACACGCATACAGAGACATGCAATCTAAATTAGTGTTCATAACTGTACCAACATAACAACCCATGATTTATCCACAAGATCTCAGACTCAACTATAGTATTCGCTCTAGAAACACAATACAAGCGTACCATTCATCCACATACTGCACAATATGTTCAATACACACCATGCACAAAGAGGTCGAACAGCTTGTCGCATTGGAGGGCCCTACCTTATGTACACGCTCTTACTTTTTTAACTATTTGTATGGCCTTTATTCAAAGTATTCTAGTAAATATAAAAATATTTAAATGCTGGTTAATACAAATGAATCCACACTAATCACAAATTAAAAAGGGAGAACCATTCACACACACTCCTACATACAAACACACACACAGCTTTGCTATAACATTGCTAGAAGAGAAACTAACTTACCTTTCACTCTTTCAGCTTTTTTCTCTTTCTTTTTCCCCCGCGAGTCCTTTAAGCCTGAAGTTCATCCGTTCCTGACAGGTGCCATGGTCCCGTAGACTCCAGAGGAACGACAGGCTCTCTCACACACACACACACACACACACACACACTCCTCAGCCTTTCCAGAACACACACACACACACACACACACGCCGTGAGGATGAATGACAGATCACAGCAGCAGCAACAGTCCACGCATGGACATGTGTCTCCAATGTGAAGTCTAAGACTGCTTTAATTAATGTGTCTGTCCCACTCTGTTTTTCTGTCTGTTTTTCCCTCTCTCTCTCAGTCTCTTCTGTCCTGGTCTGAAATTATTTTCCAGACTTCTCTCTCTTTTTTTCTTTATTTTATTTCTTAGCTCCTAATTCCACTGTTTCTTTCTCTATCTACCTTCTTTTTCCCAGTCTTTCTCTGATTTGGTTCTTGCGCTGCTTGCGCTGACTGCTACCGCAGAGCTCTCCAGCTCTCGCTCTCTCTTTCCCCTCCCTCGGTCAGCCACTCCCTCCTGGATGGCAGGCTATTATGGGTGGAGACTGGTCAGAGGTAGAAGTCTCTCTCTCTCGTGAATACTGGGATGTACACTATCAGATGAGTGTTTTCTTTTATGGTGGAATGTTTTAATTAGTTATGGATGAGTTCCTATGGACTCCGTTGCAACTTTAGCTCACCTTAGGAGTGCAATGAGGTAAATTATTAAAGAGATAGTTCACCCAAAAATTAACTCTTCCTTAGTCGTTCCAAACCCGTACGACCTTCTTTCTTCTGTGGAACAAAGAAAAATTTTAAAGAATATTCTAGCTTTTCAAGTCTTCTGAAAGGTTTGTTTGAGGAACTGCCAGAAAAGTTATTATTCACTGAATATCTTCTATCAGAGTTCATAAGAAATTAGCAATGTCTGATTCACGAATGAGTCAGATTATCCAGTTCTCAAAACCAACCTACATTATTCGTCCACACAAATGGACTGATATGGTTCTCAAATTCAATGATCTGGTCACAGTGGTTAACAGCTCACTGGAGGAAAAAAGTCAGTGAATAAAAATTCAAATTGTGGTTTGTCAAAAAAAAGCTATAGTACTGTACTACTTCAGATGATGTGAAGTATAGTGTACATGTCATATGAATCACTTTAGTGATGTTTTATATTGCTTTTGCATCCTTTTTTGAAACTTGAAAATCCAGTTCCCATTCATTTCAACTGCAAGAAAAAGAACAACCAGTAAATTTTTTTCAGTCTCTCATTTTATGTTCCAAAAATAAGGTTTTTCATTTTTAGGTGAACTATCCCTTTACCTCTATATTTAAAACAGTGTATCCATGAAATGAATCTGACAATCTAACAATCATTACAAGCTCAATGTGAGCTGCATTACACACGTTCGACTGAGTGCCGTCATTATGGCACCGATGAGACACTCTAGAGGGCAACAGTCAGCTAATATGATTTCATTAAGCTCTAAAACACTTACATTTTATTCTCTTTCCCTCCTTCTGTTTCGCAAACACACTGGACCATCTATTTCTAGGTGTTTGGTACCTGAAATAACAATAATCAGAGATTCTATAACAAGTTTCACTGTGAGAGAGAGATAGAGGAAGTGAGAGAGCTGGTCCATGTTATATGATACTTACCATAAGCTGTCATGGAGACCTGGTGTCGTCAGCAGCATATAATGTAAACCTTTGTTTTCCATTTGCTTCACACACACACAGAAACAGACAATAGCACACATGCACAGGTGTAAGAATGATTTAAAATGTAACTGAAGAAAAATAATGAATAAGGTAACAGAAATGATTAAACTCAAAGTGAATACTCAGTCACAACCTATTTAACTTGACATATTTCAGAATGAAACAGGAAATTCAATAAAACAAAAAAGAGCAGACAGGACAGGACTAAATGCGAGTTTACTGAAACAATTTGGCTATTGGCAAAGATTATGCATTAGTCCATATAGCAAAAAGAAAAAGGGAAAAGAGAAAAAAGGAAAGTAATTTTTCAAAAATTGGATGAAATATCACAAAGACAGTTTTTTAGATTTGGAAGAACAAGCACTGTTGAATCATTCACAATAAAACCAGGAAAATAAATCAAGAAAGTAAATAGGGTCAAAACTGATTTTGTGTAGACTTTTTGTGTAGAAATGGGGTGACAGTGGTTACTATGCCCTTACACGCACTCTTAAAAAAAGGTTCGTTATTGACGTTGGTGGTTCTATGAAGAAGATTTAACATCCATAGAACTTTTCCATTCCACAAAACTTGTTATAGTTATTCAGATTATTAAAATGTTCTTCACACTAAAAACAAAATATTCTTTTCAAAATTGTTCACTGAAAGTTTCTTTTGGGAACCCAAAATAGTTCTTCTATGGCATCACTTTGAAAACCCCCTTTCAAAACCTGAGTGTAAATGGAAACACACACATTTTCACCTGCTGTACTCTCCCACTTTTCTGTTTCTCTTCCTCTCAGTTGAAGGATGATGGAGAACACATACATATACACAGACATGGTCCCTCCAGGCTACATTCATTTGTGTGTGCGTGTGTACTGTAGGCCTGAATAGTCCAGGTGGAGAAACAAATCAAGAAATAGGACTGGTGCTGTGAGAGCCATAAAGGCCAGGACCACCCTAAATGAACTAAACACACACAAAATTACACAATCACAAAATAATGTGTGTTCATTTAACCTGGCTCATATCTGAGAGATCCAACCTTGCATTAAATTCCCAAGTCAAGATTGCTTCCTTTTATCTTACAGAAAGCCTACAATAAGGACAGGTTCCTGTAATTACGCAAGTATTCCTGTACAACCATGAGTTAAGAGGCTTGTTCAAGGGCACTGCGGTGACAGAACATGATGGGGATCTTGGTAACCGTTCATTTCATGGGTTGCCCCAACTGGAGATTAAACCTGTGACGTCTGCTACCACATTAGCGCTGTTACTCCACACAGCCATTACTCCTCATCTTCATCCAACCTCAGAGAGAGTATAAAGAGGAGACATACCACTGGTAGAAAATGAATGTGAGGAATCATAATGCTGAAAATGTCAGCTAAAGTAATGAATAGCAGTCCCATCTTTTAGTTAAGAGTCAATTGTCTTTTAATAGAGGCATTGCTTTCCATTGCCTATTCTTGAATCCACTTGTGCATTACGCAAAAAAAAAAAAAAATAAATAAAATAAAAATAAAATAAATAAATTATAATTTTTTTCAAAATACAGTATGAACATGGTTAAAACATGGATATCAACAAGCAAAATTCAACAGCTAAAAATTTATTGGATTTATTTTTTGGATTTATTGATAATAAATATATAAACCAGGTCTATAGGCTATGCTTTTATGTTATGTTTATTAGTTTATGTTAAAACTGTGGTTAGAATAATCCAAATGGGTGGATATTTTATGTTCAATTGAATATATTTTTTACAATTATTTGTGAATACACTTTTCTACATTAGTGTGTATAGCTGAACCAGCCAGAAATTACTTGCTTCAAAGGGACCTTGTTTTCCCTGTCATTTAAGGCAACATAAAAACAAGAATTAATGCTAGCTTTGATTTTAATGAATAATACCAAGAATAATTTCCTTTTTCATTTACACATTTTAATTACATTACACAATACAACTACAGTATGTAGTACATACATTTCTGTAACCACATGTAATAATCATCCTAATATATAATGTTATGTCTCTATCAACTAAACCGTGTGTGGGTAACTGATTTAATTTAATTTAAATGTTTCATAAATTCATAAATAATATATACGACACTAAAACTTAATTAAATAGAACATCATTCTCACGAGTGTTGTAATTTGTGGCTTCTTGTGACCACTCATTCTTGTTTCCACAACAATCTGCATTGTTGCACTACGGGAATAAATAGATTATGAAACCCATTTAATCATTTCATAAACATTTGTAAATGTTGGAAAAAACTTTTCAGTCTCATGTGAAGGCTTTTCCGCTCAGATGTTTGTGAACTAAAGGATAGGGTAAGTTTGGCTAGCTTATAATAGATTGACTCAGTCTCAAAGTCAGCCCTTTATGTCACTGATCTCTTATACAACAGAAGTTTACATAGTCTTGCTACTGTAATTTATTCAACTGTGAATGTTATTTGAAGAAAAATTGATGTGGAGAAATGCCATGCTCTTGTACAAATCACAGTAAGATCACATAGTACATTCAACGGTATCATAAATCACTTCTAGACTCTAATTATTAAGTATTAAAGAGCTTTCATAGTTGTAATATAGCTTTTACTGTTGCAACTAAATCACAAGAACAGACCATCTACTTCCTTCAATTATGCACTTGTATGATTTAAAACGTAAACATCTCAACTGTAGCTGAAGTGGGGAACAGGGAGCCATAATACACCAGAGATGTAGTATATTTGGTCATTTCTGCATATCCCTTGATGATTATGATAATTAATGATACTTAATACCCTGTCCTCTGGTCAGAGAGCTGAATCAAATCAAAATGTTCCCTACTTGATCCCTCTGTCTCTCTCTGTTATTCGCTTCAGCCAGCATTCCTGATGGACTGAGTGGAATTCATGCATTCCGGCCAAAGTCTTCCGCACACACAAAGCGCAGTGGAATTCTGATGTTGTTTCAAGATGCGGAGCTGAGCCCCCTCTCACTTCAGATAGCGAATGCATTATTATATTCTGTGTGTATTGCTTTACTGCCGACCGTCTGATCAGTATTGTTCCCACCAGATGACCGTTGACATGTAGCTCCGCCTGTTTTGACCCTACAGTCTCAGCCAGGGCACAAGTTGAGTGTGTGTTGATGCAGGGCAAAAATTTGACTTGTTACCTGCCAAAAAAGTACAACAACGTGATGGTTCATGGTGCATTAGCAAGTTGATGAATGTGTTCACACACACATACACACGACTCAAGGTCTTTGCAAGCATTGTGGTACATTTGCTATCAGCGCGGCCGAGTCCTTGAAAACAGTTTATCAATCACTACTGGCTCAGTTAGGATGAGAGAGAGAGAGACAGAAGATTGTGATGGAAGAAAAGAGAATCAGAATGTGAAAAAAGAGTGGAAGAGGGACACAGCGGTTTCTGGCAAAAGCAGGTTCCGCTGTAGCATGCTGGAGTGTGTGCGCGTGTTTTGGAAACAGTGTATCTATGCGCGTGTGCATGCATCACTCAGTTTTTACATATAGGTCTGTTGTTATTTATCATGCCGTGAGGTCAGGCCTTAAAGTCACCATCCATAACCACTGCCACCACAACACATAGCTTGAAAGAATGAAAGAATTAGACTCCTAAAAACATGTGTTAGCTATTAAACTGTAATGTTTAAAAAACAGAACAGTCAGGTACACTAACATTCAAATGTTTGGGGTCAATAAGATTTGTTTTAGTTTTTTTGACAGAAATTACTTTTATTCAGCAAGGTTGCACTAAATTGATTAAAAGTGACAGTAAAGACATTTATAATGT